CCAGGGGCTAATGTTACAGTGATTTCAAAGTATTTCTTTTTCCATAAAGTATACTTCTCGTTCCAAGAATACTCCATGAGGAGTACAGGTAGTTCGGAATAGGAAGCCTAGTCTGAACTACCTAGTTCGTGCCGCGTGTAGCCGCGGGGCACGGAGTCCGAACTAGCGGACATTTAAAAATGGAGGCGCCCGGCAACATGCAAATGAAACCTGGGAAATTCAAATCCCGGGCTTCATTTGCAACTCCGGTTGCCTACATTAACAACCCTAGTTTGAACTAGGGTGATAGTGTAGACATACAATAAGGCAGCACAAAAGTAGGGATGGTAATACTGTAACCCTCCTAAAATAACTTTGTGAACAGCCCCCCTCCCCTCCCACACACACTGCAACTCCCTTTTGGGACAGGATCCCCTATTTGAGAAATGCTGGTTTCCCTCATGAAAACTGCATAGTATAGGGTAAAAGCACACAAAAAACCAGATTACACTGGATAGATCTGATTTCACGGTCCAAGACTTGTTTTTCATGATAGTGAGATTGGTAAGGCCCTACTTATGTTCCAATTCGACATCTCACACACTATTTCTCATTACTGATTATCATAAGTTCTTAAAGTCTGTCTTTTTAAAAATATCTTGGAAAAGTTTCAAGGAAGTCACTGAAATGTGAAATGAACTGGGTATTTTGTTCTACAAAGTTTATAAATACTAATGTATTACATTCAAATTCTTAGTGTACTAAATATAGCAGAATTGGGGTGAGAGATGATCTACATGGGGACACCAATCTAGTTTTAGTGGCTCAAGATGATTTTACAAAAGCGGCGAGGAGTCCTGTGGCACCTTATAGACTAACCGAAGTGTTGGAGCATAAGCTTTCATGGGCAAAGACCCACTTCCTCAGATGCATGTAGTTGAAATTTCCAGAGGCAGGTATAAATATGCAGGCCAGAATCAGCCTAGAGATGACGAGGTGGATCCAATCAGGGAGGATGAGGCCCACTTCTATTAGCTGATCTGGAGGAGTGAATAGCAAGAGAGGAGAAGCTGCTTTTGTAGTTAGCTAGCTATTCACAGTCTATAAGGTGCCACAGGACTCCTCGTCACTTTTGCAGATTCAGACTAACACGGTTACTCCTCTGATACATGAGAAGGAGAGTGTGTTCTGTTGGGTTTTTTTTAAAGTGAAACAACCACATAGCTATACACTCAGTTTTATGTGTACAGAATGAACTATATGTTATGAGATTTAAGGCTAGATTAAGTAAGAAGTCTCATTAGCTTACATAGGCCTTTGGTATTAATGCTCACTGAAGACCAAACTAGGGTTACACTTACATTGCTTTTATTAAATGCCACTGTTGAATTAAATGGAAAAGGGGCTGAACCTGATCACACACATACATCCATACACTCATATACAAACAAACAAAACAAACCCCATCTTGCTTTTGTTTAAAGTTACCAGTCCGTCACTCACATTAACTCACCAGACCAATGCTCCAGTCTTCACAAGACGAAACCCAGAGATTCATGCAAGACACAATCTTTTATGCATGGATTGGTTCCTGAGTTAGAGTTATTATGGTGCGGTGTATAGTTGCTGGTGAGAATATGCTTCAGGTTGGCGGGTTGTCTGTGGGCGAGGACTGGCCTGCCTCCCAAGGCCTGTGAAAGCGAGGGATCATTGTCCAGGATGGGTTGTAGGTCACTAATGATGTGTTTAGTCCTATTCAGCAAGGAACTTGGCTTTAAGCATATACATAAGTGCTCTGCTCAGTAGGGATAGAATGACACCTGCTTATGTGCTTGTACAATGCCTAGCAGAATGGGGCCCTCATTCTGAATGGAACCTTATAAAAATAATTTCCTCTTATATTTAATTCTAAATAGCCTAATTTATGTTATAGTAGTGCCTCTAAAGCAGGGGTGGGCAAAAGGGCCTCCGCGGGCTGGATCTGGCCTGCCAGTTGAGTTGATCCGGCTCGCGGAGGCCCTGTTGATCCCCCTGCCTCCAAGATAATCAAGGTCTGGAAGCAGCGGGGGAAGCACACAATGTCTCCTCCCACCCTACAAGGAGTATGTGGTACTTTTAAGTGCTGTGAGCTCCTGGCAGGGTGGGAGGAGACTTTGTGCACTCCCCCTGCCCCCAAGCCCTGATTTGCCTGGGGACTGGGGAAAAGGGGGAGCATGCAAAGTCTCCTCCCACCACCAGGGGCATGGGTTCCTAGAGGGAACTGCCAGCTGTTCAGAACAGCTGGCAGTTTTCTCTGGGGGATGGGGGGAGCAAAGATTTTGTGCACTCCGCCACCCCCAGGCCAATCAAGGTCTGTGGATGGGGAAGCACAGAAGTGTTCTGGCCCTGCCCCTTCCACCTGAGGCCTCGCCTCAGGTTCACTTCAAAAATTTCTGAAGTGGCCCCTAGTCAAAAATTATTGCCCATCCGTGCTCTAGAGGCAGTAAAGACTAGCCCGCCCCACTCTGTAAGGCAATGTATGCACATACAATCTAAATAAGTGGCCAGACTTGTAAAACTGCCAAGCATCTAACTGGTCCCATTGATTCTAATGCAAAATATTTAGAAAGCACCTAAGTGCTGAGCAATGACGCTTCCCTGAAACTGGGTCATTTTTAGGTGACTACATATTAATTTGGGAACGTATTCTTACAGTCTTTGGGTGAAAACCTGATTCCACTAGAGTCAATAGTGGTTTTGCCATCAACATTAGGATTCAAATCTTAATGTACAGAGACAAGCAAATAATTCTGCATAATTACTAAAAAAAAAAAAGTATCAATTTAGTTAGAATCTGGCTTTTTGTGTTTTTATTCAATTTTAGAATATTAAAGACTAATTAAAAACAGTTTTCACAATAGTAGGGAAATGATAAAAAAATACCCCCCCACACACACATTTTACAACAAAACAGAGCACATTTATTTTGTGCCACAAAAGTGGAGATGACCAATTACACTGTAGCAACAAATAAAAACTTAGCCATAAAACCAGCACAAACATCCACAAACTGCATTTTGTACCAGTTTATGACTATGATATATTTGATAATAATTGGTCTCATATTCACAGATTGGGCTTGCGTAAGAAAACTGAAATCTTATATATTAAGGAATCTTTTGTTATTCCTGTGAAATGACAGAAAGTGAATTTAAATTGTTAGTGAAATGAACATTATGTATTCTACAGTTTAACACAGTAATCACTAATAACTTAGGATGGCAGCTGTTGTACATGTTAAACTAACAAATGTTACATGACCAGAGATGAGTGGCATGACATGTGGCTATAGTCCTTTATATAGTCATGCTCTCAACTATTTAAAAAATGCTCACAAGAAAGTCCTGTAAAAATAATATTCTCAAGAAGTTCATGGAAAACATTTATCCACATCCAGTTCTATCATCATTTTGTTAGTATGAGTCATCTAAGATTTTATATTTAATATAATTATATAAAAAACAATTGCCTTCCAGAAAAGAAATGCATTAATGCTGTGGCCTGAAGCCGGACTAGTTTGTCTAGAACTGGAGGGCAATTATTACATTTCAATCATCGGTCCAACTTCTTGTATCTATGATCATAAATCTACAGACTCCCCCCACTGTAAGTACAGATGAAGTACAGAATCTGTTTGTCCTCTAGCCAGATTCCAACAGTCAGCGTAAACTGTAATATTCAAATATCAATCCCTGTTATCCTCATCCTCAAGAACTGTAAATACTTTTTTTGGATGGATCCAGATAGATCTGATTTTCAATATTCTTTCTGTAACTCATACCTTTCTATCCTCCATTTTGATCATGCGAAGACCTGCCTGGTTGCTGTTATCACTTTAATGATCTCTCAAGTAGCTACATAAGTTGCCATTTACTGTATTAAAGGTCCAATTTCCTGAAAGCAACTGTTTTACCTGATGACGTCATATCATCAAAACAGCTCCCCATTTGACTTTCAGTAGGGTCTATTCAGCAAAACATTTTTACCTTACATAGAGCTGGGAAAGCGATTTGTAAAGAACATTTTCTTAGTCTAATTTTACCCTTATTTGAAAAATTCATAAATAAAAAGTATCAGATCTGAATTGTATAAACTTGTTTTTGGAAAGCTTCTGAGGGGTAGCCTAGTTCAGTGTTTCTGAAAGTGCTCCACAAAATAACTTTCAGAAACGCATTAACTGGCTACTCCAGTTTGTTTATTTACTAGCGGTGCTGCCACAGAGCCTCGTGGCTTCCATTGGCTCCGTTTTGTCCTTTGCAGCCAACGGGAGTTGTGGGAAGTGGTGGCCTGTGTTTCTGAAAGTGATTTCACAGAACACTTTCAGAAACACTGTCCTAGTTAGTCTGTAACTGGAAAAACTTAAAAAAACAACAAATAGTCTTGCAGCACATTAGAAACTAACAAAACTTTTTCAGATGTTTGGAGTTATTACAGGTCCAGTTTCTAAATAAATGGGCGGGAGAGGAAAAAGAAGCGGGGAAAAAAAAAAGAAAAAAAAAAGGGGGGGGGGGGGCGGGATAGTCAATTAGTGTCCATGTTATATGAAGCTGATAGAGAAGGTGCTATTTGTTCTTAAGTATCCACTGTTTGTTTTTTTATGTAATTAGGATGTGGAATGTAGCGGCTTTGGTATATATGGTTGTGACAATTTTCTTCCACTATTTGATCTGAGGAAGTGGGTCTGGCCCATGAAAGCTCATCACCTAATAAACCATCTCGTTAGTCTTTAAAGTGCTACATAGTCTTGGTTTATGAATATGTCTTCTTTTTTTTTCTCTGTCACGAATAATTCTCTGTTATTAGCATTATGCAAATTTTGGCTAACAGAATTAGGGAATTTTTAGGACACTGCAATCTTCTTTTTTCAGTCACTTGAGTTAGGCTTTGCTTGATACATCATAGCACTGTTAAAGATAATGTTGAATGAAATAGGACATATAAACAAAAGAAAAAAAGACATGAGCTCATTTGTTTGGGTTTACCTGTCATGTGTCCTCATAAAGTCCCAAAATTTCTTAGTGCCATTCTGGAAAACAAAATAAAAAACAAAAACCATCAATATAATTTGTTCCTGATGAAAACTGACTACCTGAAATCAAATATTATTTCAACAACAGCAGCTTTCTTCTTTGGCAAAGCTGGATGTATCTGGAACAAATTTATTACATTTTGATCATAACAGCAGTGTTTCGGGAACAACTATTTAATTTTCAACTTGAAACTGGAAGGGAATGAGGAAGGGACTAAATGTTTTACTACTACTTTATAAAAGCAAAAAGCAAATATGTTGCAAACATGCCCTTAAAATAGGCACCTAACTCTATATTTAGGCATCTAAATCAAAGATGCCTAATATTCAGAAGTACTAAGGACTTACATCTGTGAGTGACTTCAGTCCATTTTTATTAAAGTACTCACATATTGCTTGTGACGGGTTCAGTCACTAAGGGTATGTTTACACTACAGCG